ATTTGTATGTAAAGGTATGTTAGGTTTTTAGCACTCAACAGTTTATAAGTTTATTTAAACAATATTTCATTTATATTGTATACTACTTTACTTTTTTATTAACATTGAAAATACATTTTTCCAAAATAAATAAATTGAACAAAAAATCAGACATAAAATTAATGATTAGTTAAATATTAAGATTTGTTATGATTTTAAGCAAAGAATCTCAAGAATGCAATTAATATTTATATAAATATTTTTTCTTTTAATATATGTTTACAATAAATGTAAAACAGAGTGGATTTGTCAGACAGATAGTGCATATGATATTTGATTTACCATTCCTTTTGTATTAGACAGAAAATATTGTCATAAATTAAGCATATTTTAAATAAATGGATTGTTTTGAAAACATACGTTATTTTATAAGATCTTATGTAAGTATTTATTACATATTGAAATAATGCAAAATTAATTTGGTTTCTATATTTGGTTAATGTTGTTGTTGTTGTTAGAAATATGTCATTAAATATAATATGATAATAACGACAATCAATAAAAGCGCTCAAATCTGGACCAAATTGATGTGAAAATCAATTACTTATAAAAATAGGTATAAAAATAAAGGGAATTAAAGGCAAAGAAATGATGAGAGAAACAACTGAATGGCTAAGAGAAGCGCTAACAACAAGACATACAAATGGATAGATATTATGGTCAGAAAGACAAGAATTATAAGTAATGTTTGAATTGCGAAAACCATTCAGAATTGGATTCAATGGACTGAAAGAGTGAAGACATAGACCCGGGAGAGGAATACTGAAATACATACATAGCCTGTGATAATGTAAGGGCTTAATAGATATAGCAGTGAATAAGTGGTTTGAATGGATGGACACAATGGATATGTGAAGAGTTGTGATTGAAGGCAAATGCATTGCCATAAACGAGTCGATACTCAAAGTCCAATACTTATTTCCCAATCACTGGATATAAGTATTATACCGATACTCAACATAAGTAATATTTGAGCCCTTTGTCTGACCGATGGGCAGATATATTAAGACATTGTATTAGGTATTGTGTGGGAAGATCTGGTTGGGAACTATAGCCCAAAATATGAACTAAAAATAAGTTTGCTATTTTATTAAAGAGTAATGTTTAGTGAAGCGGTTGTCTATTGCATAAATTTTCATAAAGTACATTATTTTTATATAGTATAATCATTTTTATAAAAATATATTTTCTATTAAAAGCAAATGCTATACTTATCGATAGATAATTTGGATATATTTTGGATAATTGATTAAAATTATTGATCCCAATGTTCATCAAGGCGTTTGATTAATTATGATTAAATTAATGGCAGATAACATGATGGGCATTTCAAAGGGCGAGTCCTGACAATTAATTCTCAGACCTAATAAAAAAAGTGCTGAACTCCTTGTCGTAAATACTTTACATGATTTGCATTATTTATTAACATATAAAACGGTGGATTTGTTTAATAAAATTTTTAAAAAATATTTCGCAAGTATTTTGACCAGACTTTTAATAATTATAGTAATTAAAATGAAATTTTAATATTTGATGTTAAAAATCTAATTTATTTGTGTAATTTGAGGGAAAATTAAAAATAAATTACATTTCCCACAACTTAACAGACAATTTAATGAATAAATAAATTCATTTGTTTGTTATTTTGTTGAAACAAAAATATATCATTGCATAAGAGATGAAATGTTATTTCATGGCAAAGAGTGATCTCCAAAAATAAGAGCTAATGTTTGTTTTGAAACAAATTATTGATAAGTTTTTTGGCCTAACATTTCAAGCGATGGTAATGTGAATAACATTTAAATTTATTATATCTATTGATATTACCATTTAGTGAATGAAAGTAATCTAAAAATAAGTGCAAACAAAATAGAGTTATAACTTATAAGATATGTTATGTGAGTTTAAAGGAAAGTATCGCTTAAATTGCTTAAGAATTTGTGGTTTACTTTCTCGCGATTAGCTCTCTCTCTCTCTCTCTCTCTCTCTCTCTCTCTCTCTCAATTTTGAATGTCACGAACAAAGTATGTTTGCGGCAATTCTGGTGTCTCTTATATATAGTCGGGACTCAATAACAATGAACTACTAGTGCTCAAGATATTGGTACTCATGTACTCTCTCTCTCTCTCTCTCTCTCTCTCTCTCTCTGAATGTCATTTAACTTCATTCCGGTGTAAATATCTCTATAATAGTGTTATTTTGTTACGTGAGAGGTATGTATGCAAATATGTATGCAATATATGTGTGTTTGGGAGCAACAAAACTAAACAAATATTTTGTTCATTCACTTTAAGGTTAAATACATTTAATTCTCAGTAGAGCTCATAAATTGTCGTTTTGTAAGAATATTATGGAAAATATTTTTCTCTGAAGAGACAAATCTTGAAATTAATTGAAACATATTTTGATTGATAGGATTTATATAATGCATTAGAGTTGTGTTAATACCGTATTATAAACATAATAGTGGTTAAAAACCCGAACACAGAATAATGCATTTTAATTTAATATGCATTTAAATTTGTTTAATTTTTAATTTCAGTACTTTTAAGTGTATGTCATATACACGAAGAGATATAAATTCAAAAGTTTATATTTTATTTATAATAAAACCTCTCTCTCTCTCTCTCTCTCTCTCTCTCTCTCTCTCTCTTCGTTTATTTTTCTATTTCTCTTATTTTTGCCTTTTCTGCCAAAAAGTCATACAAAATTTATTTGCAATAAATTCAATGTAAGCCCAGAATAAGGTTTTATTCATAGACTTTTATAATAACTTTAATACATTTACTTAATACAGAAGTAGACAAAGATATGGCTTTATATTTATTCAGCTGTTTTAAAATTAATTGGTTGCGAAATACATATAAAAACTTTATATTATTTCTATTAAATGAATATCAATATACAGTTAATATGTTATAATAATTGTAAACGATTTACATCTCGCAATCATATCTAAGAATATTCTGAATATGCTAAATCTAAATCTAAATGCTAGGCGTGCACTACATTTGCATTTAAAGTATAATTATGGTAAATTCATCGATTCACTGTTAACATTAATTTTATTATTAAAAATATTCACAATCATTAGAAGTATAAATAACATAATAATAACAAAAATATCACAACAAACCGTTTGCAACATATTTTAATTAAAACGACATTTCATAATTAATTAATTAATTTGCTAATATTGAAAATTTTAAGTGAATTAAGCATAAATAAACATGTATTAAAGATTGACCAGGATAAATGCATATTTATGGTAAATCAACGAACTCGCATGACCCTGTTCATTGCACTGGGAAACCCAATATAAAAAACAAATGCATTATTCTCGATATACTTAACATTCAAACAGAATTGGTTTTTATACAATGAAATAAATTAACATTAGTTTATATACAAAACATTGATTTCAATATTTATAGCCAAAGGAGACAACAAATACAAAGACAATAAAATTACATATGAATAAGAAAGACATTACTGTCAGACAGAACTATATCTATCGCGAAAAACATCGTTAAATAACGTGAACTGAGTTTCGCTTTTTGAATACAAACTCCTATTTATGGCCGCAATGTTTGGTGTCTTGATCTGAGTGTTGAGACGCCTAATGGTTGTGTCGATGCGTCGGTTGCCTCTCAAATGTTTGATACGGGAGACAACCAATCGATAGACGTTTCGCTTTACGGTAAACGAAACAAAAATGAAGGCCCCGTTCAGGCCGTGGAGGATAATCGTCGGGTACGTAAACACCGGCGTCTGACTGAATAAGGCTATGAACCAGAATATCCACGTTATGCCCAACATAGTCAACAGTTTCATGTAAATCGCCAGTCGGTCCGTCACTTTGGCTTTGGATCGGGTGGCGAAACGCGTCTCTTCGGCGCATCGCTTCAGCTTCAGTGCCGTTACAGTGAAGAGACACACGTTTACCGTCAATATTATGGTCACCGGAATGAAGAAGAAGATGAGGATCGGCGCGAAGTGACTGATACCACACGTCACTTGTCCTACAATATAGTCATATTCATGTTGATTAGCACTGTTTAATTGTACGCAAAATACAAATCTTCTCTCTCTCTCTCTCTCTCTCTCTCTCTCGCTACACATCCAACCCTCGCCTACCAGTCCTCTATGCATATCCGTTGCGATCATTAGATTGTATTCATTTTTAGGTAAGAATTTTAAAATTAAAAATTTATTTATTTGTTTNCTCTCTCTCTCTCAATAATAATAATAAAAAATTGCATAAAGCACATACCATAGGCCGGATTATATGGTGAATCGTAGGGTATATTAAACTGGAGTATTAAAGTGGAGATCACTATAAGTGCGGGCATTAACCAGCCGTACAGCGAATAGACTAGGAATTTGGTATTTTCGGCCCCTTTTAGCTTAATTATGGATATCTTAAACTTAAGGGCTCTGCTGAACGTCTTGTAGACATCGTATGCCAATACATTCATCCAGAAAAACGCCGCTATAATTAAGTCAAACATTGATTTAATATATTATAGACAATAATATTATGTAAGTAAATATATAATAAATATTAATATTTATGTTAGACATAGACGTGTAGGTAAGGACACAGACAGGGCATGTCTTGAGTGGGAGGTTAAGCCCTATTGATTATAATGATTACTTTATTCTCATATATTTAATGCTTGTTATTTAATAATTATTAAGTAATAGCATTAGATCTAGATTTAGAGCATTAAAATAAAATGTATTACAGTATTACATTTAATTGAATGAAATTATTTAAATAAATCCCGATTAAATTAATTGAAGCATATTTTACTGTTCATCCCATAAATTAAGTTATATTTAAATTATTATCTATTAATATTAAATTTGTGCTTAAATTCTGGTGTCGAGTGTATGAACTATAAAGTAAACATATTATTCTGTATGTTAATAATTATACTAATTGTGTACATAATTATCAATAATATGCTTAATGTGAAAAATTTACATTTATTTATGTTTACCGGTATTAGTAATTTTCAAAGCAATGCATTAACGAAATATATTATGGCTTTGAAAACATTGATTAAAATATACTATAATTTTCTTATATTTCACAGTAAATATAATTTATGATAATTTAATAAAAAGTAGACTTTCTTAATAGATTTCGCAGACATTCTTGGAAAAGGCAATGTGTTTGCAAAATAAACGTATGCATTGCATCAATAAAGAAAATTGACCTTGGTGTGTGTGGGGCACTAAACATGATACTTTCTTATTTCACTTGAAATCTTTAGGTGTATTTGTCTGGATTGTCTTCAATTATGCTAATTGAATATTATATTTGTATTAAATAATGACCATGTTATTGATTGGCATGTATCGAGCTCAAACTGGATAATACCGGTATTTGTTATAATTTTTTATAAATTTTATTTTCAATTGAAATGTTATTAGCAGTCAAGATGTGGAACGAATAGATACGACAATTGTTGCCGATTTTATAACAACTTATTTCACATTTTATTTCATAATTATTTCCCTCTTTTTGCACACAATCTCTCTCTCTCTCTCTCTACTTCTGTATTAAGTAAATGTATTAAAGTTATTATAAAAGTCTATGAATAAAACCTTATTCTGGGCTTACATTGAATTTATTGCAAATAAATTTTGTATGACTTTTTGGCAGAAAAGGCAAAAATAAGAGAAATAGAAAAATAAACGAAGAGAGAGAGAGAGAGAGAGAGAGAGAGAGAGAGAGAGAGAG